TAATTAAAGAACATTGAAGTAATTATGACGCCAAATTTATTTAATAAAATAAATTAATCAGTGTTGCCTCAATGTCGGCGCAATTTATAAAAATATGTAAATAAATCAATTAGTATAAAGAAAATTAAAATAAATAAATAGAAGAAGAAAACAATAAAGTATTTTTTTTACACATTTTTTATAAAATTCAAAGTAAATTTTACTCTTAATAAAAGTATTTTATTTTCTTTAATTATTATAATTTAAATATATATTTTAAAAGAATAAAATTTTGTTGATACTTTTTTTATAAAGTATGATAATTTTGCAATATACATTTATATTTTTACTGTATTTAATAAATTATATATATAAAAAAAATAAAAATTATATAATGTATATTAAACTAATATTGATGAAAATTATATATAATTAGTTTAGAATCTATCAAACATATTTATCTAATGTATTATAAGCTATTCACATTGATCAAAGTAAATCAAATTAAAGTTACAAAAAAATATTTTTACACAAATATTAAACTAATCTTAATGAAAAATTAGATGTAAAATTGTATCAAACCTGCTGAATAATTTTACTTAAAAATTAAAGGTGCTTTACTTTAATCAAAGTATTTATTATCTTATGAAATTAAAAAAATGTGTTATACTATTAATAAAGTTATAAAAACACATATTACTATACAAATATTAAATCAATCTTAATGAAATTTTATATATAAATAATCTTAAATATATTCAATAACTTTCACTTAAAAATAAAAGATATTTTACTTTAACTAAAATATTTAAAATAAATCTTATATAGTAAAATTATTATAAGATAATATTTTAGCTATAGTTAACATTTGCTACATTTATTCTTTTAACTGATTAACTAATTCTTTTTCATTTTATTAAAAATATTATTTATTATTAGTTTACTTTTCAAATCTATTTAAAAGGAATAGATCTATATTATTTAACTACTTTTCATTGAAAACTAAGATGCATCTAAAATTAGGATAATATGTTTTTTTTTTTAAAAAAAAAAGAAAAAATAATATAAACATTACAGTAAATTCTATTGAAAGATTTATATTTCTGCATATTTTTTAATATAATTTATAATAAACAGTATAATCAATACAATTGAATTATTAAATTAAAAATATTTCATTTAAGATATTAATATTTCTATCATTAAAATAGTAGGACTATCAGCTAGATAATTTGACTAACTTGACTCTAACAATAAGTAAAAACTTTCAAAGAATTATAAGAATAGTTTTGGTCAATCTAACTATTAAATAAGAATTATAAAATTAAAATATAACTAAAATATTAAAAAATTCTTTAAAAAATACAATATTATTTACTTTATTAAGTAAACACTAATAACTTAAAAACTCCTTAAAACTTATTTTTTAATAAGCTTTAACTTTTTGAAAACATTTATATACTATCAGGACTTTCACAATATATATTTATTCAGATGAACTAGGAGAAAACTGAGTTCTAATTTTCTTTTAATTTTCTATTTGTGATTTTCTGCTATAAGTTATTTTATTAATTTTTTAAATTTTTAATTTTTTATAAATTATTATTATACTAGTTCTTTTAGATTGCAGGTAAATCACTTATAATATTTTTAGTAGAAGGTTTTCTTCATAATTAAGAGTAAAATAAAGATACAAGATAAAAGAAATAATAATAAATATGATAAATTAGATGAAGTGTATGCAATTAATTATTTAATAAATAAAAGACTAGTACTGCTTCTGTTAATATATTTGTATTAAAAAATTTATTTATCAAAAAATTATTATAAAATAAATTCTTCTCTACTCTTTTATATTGACGAATTGCTTTTATTTATATAAAAATACATTCTTATAATGATAAACTAAATAAAATAATGAAAATAAATAAAATATATAAAATAATACAAATGAATAAAATAATATAAATAAATATAAATAATTTAATAAAATAAATGAATAAAATGAATTAAATGACATTAATAATGAATAATGTAATAAGGTCTATTTGCATAATAAAAATTAGACTATTAAAATTAAGAAATAAGAAATGCAGATCATTTGTCTATCTTATTTAGCTATAATACTACAAATCATTTTTAGATATAATATCAGCCAAATATCTAAAGTCATGAAAAATAAAAAAACCAAATAATTTAAAATCAACAAATCTTTATATTTAAGAAACTTATTAGCATTATCAAAATGAATAAAATCACTTAATAATTCACCAATAATGATTATTATACTAAACTTTTTTACAGTGTTCATTAGATTCAATAGCTTTAGTGATAAATTAAAACATAAAATTTAATTTAAATAATCACTATATTGAAAGTATGTCTTTGCTAAATCCTTGTTAATAATCATACAAGTAAAATTCAAAGCTTATTTAGAATCTTCTATAGACACAATCCAATTCTAATTTTGATGTAAAAATGCTTAATATAAAAAAGGTTATTCAATTTATAATAATAAATAATAATATATTTAATTTAATAATTAATTAATAATATAAATGAAAATTATTATATTATACTATATTATTTAATTATAAATATATCAGATTGTAATCTGAAGAATATGATAATAAAATTTAAAAATGATGTCTTTTTCTTCATAAAAAATTACGTAAATTTCTTCCTTTATGTATAGATGCATATATAATACAAGAATACTATAAGGTTATAAAATGCATCCATTTTTGGAAGCTATTAAAAAAATAATTATTAAAATTTATACAAAATGTGTTTAACAAAATATTCATAATCACAAGCATCCATTGATCCTTCTTGGATAAGAGACTATTTACACATAATGTACCTTACCTTCTATCAGTGATAACAAGTAATCCAAATGACCTCAAATGATTCAAATGACTGGTCATGTGTCATTTGGGTCATTTCAACATTAAATGACAAATGACCTGGTCATTTAAAAATATCATGTGGTCTCATAAATTCTGGCCAAAATAATTAATGTTTCGAACGTTTTCATGTATTTCACCTGATATAATTTGTAATTCTGGCCAGCATATAAAATTAGGCCTGTATTACAATTAAATGACCAAATGACAAATGACCTCAAATGACCGGGTCATTTGCTATCACTGCCTTCTATTGTAAATCTTTTACCTTGAACAAAAATGAAGGTTTTTTTTGCACGAAAAGCAGATTTATTCCATCCATATCTACGTGAAAGATTTCTTTTTATCATGCAGATTCATCAGAAAAAACGAGTTGCGATGCTGTATATTGAGATATATTTAGAATAAAATTTGCTCTATCCCTTTCATTTCTTTCCTTCGCAAATTTAGATAACTAGAAATATATTAGTTAATTATAAATAAATATCAAAATAAATTTAATAAATTAATATATGTACTTGTTTGTGTGTATATCCAAGCCGGTGTACAGCTCTCCAAATAGTAGACAAACTAACTTTTCGATCCAACCATAATTCCATTTGGGATTGAAGTTCCCATAAGTACCAATCAATTTTTCTTTTAATAAAATATCAAGATATATCATATCATCTATATCCAACAATCGCAGTCTTCCTAAAACAAGGAACTTTTTCAACACAACAAAACTCTTGAAAATATTGTATAATACGAGATACAGAAGATTTGCTAACGCCCAAGTGTTTTGCAATTATCCTACATGAAAGACCAGATAACGATTTCTCAACTATTTGATAACGAATATGGTTGTTCAATATTAATTCGTTAATTTTAATGCTAAAAGAAATTTTTGCCAACGAAACAGGAATGAGAGACTTTTTTGCTGGAAACGATAATTTAAAATAAAAAACGTAAAAAAAAAAAAAAATATATTGCGGTGATTTTTGGCACTAATTTGATTAGCGCCGAGAAATTTTTAATCATTTTATTGGCACCGACAATTTCCGACATTCCGAACAATCCGACATTGCCGATAAACCTAAATTACGTCCCGAAACTTTTGAAAATAGCTGTAATTAACTTAATTTTAATGTTTTTATCGTCAAAACCGCGATTTTATGATCGGATTGTTATTTATTTCGTTATAAATTTCTTAAATAATTTATTAGTAAGCACAGTCGACCCCAAAATATTACGAAGAGTTAAAATTTATCAGTAATTATTTATTTTATTTATTTTTTTATCCGGTGATTCCAGAAAAAAATCAAAAATGGCTTAATACACCTTTGTAAATTTTTAGGATAGGGAAATCGTATCGTAGAAGGTGAAAGTTCCACCTGTATAAAAAAAGAAAATTATAATAAAATTTTTTAAGAATAAAATATTTATGTAGTGTATAATTTACGAAAATTATTAAATCACAAAAGTAGTCATCATACCTATGTGAAATTTTATCAATTATAGTAAATTGTTATTGTTACATTTAATATAGTATCGCATCAAAGAAAAAGAAACAATTAGTAAATTCGTTAGGGTACCAAATTGTTCAAATTAAAATTTAATAAATATATTCTTGGATTTGGAATTCTTTTAAATAACACATAGTTCGCCTTCTTATAATTTACATTCATACACTTTAACTACTTCCCCTTCTCCTTTGCGAATTTTAACACTATCGCCTCTTAATTTCATTATTTTTACGTTGTTAACTTCGTTTATTTTAATTTCGGCTTTTCTTATTTTTATTTTTAAATTAAATTAATATTTAGTTATTGGGTTTAATAAATTGCAACGACATTGAGGCAACACTGATTAATTTATTTTATTAAATAAATTTGGCGTCATAATTACTTCAATGTTCTTTAATTA